TAAAAGTACAGTGTTACTGCCCTGTACAAAAAAGGTACTAGAGTTCTGAGGGGGTTCAAAGGCAGGCGTTTTGGGATTTAAAGTACTAGATGCACCATTCTTTTTATTAGTACTACTGCTAGAGGTACTATCTTTACTCTCATTCCATGTTCCACAAATACTACTATGATGTTGCCCTCTGCAACTGTTACATTTATGGGAAGAACGACAATATCGACCATTGTGGCTACAGTGGAGGCATACAAAACATCTACCACTAGTTCTAATTATTCTCTTGCGCTCATCAACTGAAACCACTGTCTTACAATTAACTGGTGCATGCCCCTCCAACCCACAATAACAACAGCAGTACTAGAAAAGGTCTTCATTGTAGGGGACTCTCTACTATGTTTAGGGAAAAAAAATCAGATTTATTGTTATGCACGTTAGCTCTCTCTCTGGCTTCCAACTCCTCCAAAAACACTTCAATAATTTTAGTTAATTGCCACTCATAGGTACTCTTCTAGTTATAATAAGTCTAAGCTCTGAGGGCATTTTTTTCACAAACACAGGGATCAATAATGCTCCATAGGCTTCTGGTTTCACTCCAAGGGCATCCAAACTCCTATTGCTCAACTCAGTTTTGTCATAGAGCCGTCTCAATTCAATAAGGTGATGCTCAGATACTACAGGCTCAAGGCTCATTAAAGTGTCCATATGGGCAGCTATAATTCTCTCCTTGTCTTTAAATCTACGTTGGAGAAGGTCAACAGCAGATGTATAATTGGCATCAGTCAATGGCATGCCTGCAATGGCCTCTTGGGCCTTGCCTATCAGTAATGATTGCAAATATGAAAATTTTTCTATATTAGACAAATGGATTTTATCATGCACTGCAGCCTTTTACATGTTCCAAAAGGGACTCCACCCTGTGAGGTTACCATTAAAGGGCTTTAGAGTGAGTTTAGGCAACTTTGTTCTATTAGTAGGATCGACCGTTGGCACAGCTGCACTAGGCAGCGACCCAACTGAAGGAGTATGTGATATACTTGCAAGAACATACTTGCAAGAACGTGCTCAACCTTTGCCATAGCAGCAAACAATTCATCATTAATTCGTTCCGAGGCTTCTATCTCTGTGGCAACATCGCCTGGATCAATATGTGGCATTATATCTTCTTCTAGCTTGTTGAGCTTAGCATGAGTCTCCTGTAACCCTCTCTTGAGCTGCTCTAATCTAAGAGCATCCACGCTTGTGGGATTAGAAAAGGTATCATCTGCTTCTTTTATTCTCCGAGTTGCCACAGACCTGTGGCCTCACCGCTGTCTCTTCAATTGGTCTGGATCAGTCATTGATGTAACAGACACTCCTAACTATCTGATAACTAAACTTTATTCTTAATCAACACGAAACTCAACTGAGCTCAAAAACAAAAACTAAGAAAACTCACAAAACAACACACTTATATAGATCTTATAAATGTCCAGAAGGTTCTATAACATACAAGAATACTTTACATGATTGTTCTAGAATATACTTAAATACACACATAACATATAATTACAATAGTCCACAGAGAGTTCCGGATCCATTTAGAAACAACTTCTTACAATTGATGCTATAAAAGGAATATCAAGGCTATTGAGCTGTAAGGCTTTTTCAACAATGACTTATAAATTGTGTGGTTTCTGAAACTGACCACAACTTACTACGTGGGGCAGCTGCGCAATGCTAATATGAAAA